TGTCAACTCTCCGTCGTAGGTCCGACCTCTGTAGTCTATTTGTACCTCCGGACTCCGGTGGAAGCTTGTACTCTCGATCTCTCACTCTCTCGGTCTCTCTTACTGAGGTATAAACGTTAAATACCTAAACTGTATGCTTGGTGGTTTGGTGGAAGCATGATCCATAAGTGTGATGTGTTATCTGTTTTGTATATGAATTAGTTGTATTATTTTGATGCACTGTTATGTTTTTGGTGGAAGCTTGAAACCCTAGATTCGGACCCTGATACCCTTTCTATGAACTACCTGTTAATCTATGATGCTTTGGTCATGCATATGATTATATGAATCTATGATTCTGAGATTTTGATATAAATGGTCTCTGAATATGTGCTGCCTCGATGATGCCTGTATGATTATGAGATTATTATATAAGTGGCCCCTGAGTAAAGATGATGGTTGATTTATTATGAGTTCTGAGTCTTTTGACAAGTGTTGAAGTTGCCATTTTCTACTCTAACACTCAAATGAGTAGTTAGAGTGAACTGGTATCTTCTAAGTCTGTAGAGAAGTGAATAAGCCTACTGCTTATATCCTTCTGTAGATCAGCTTGCTGATTGTTCCAGACTTTAATTTCAATGTATGATGTTGTGTTCAATCTGGAAGCTTGCATTATTGAGTTTTTTGAACTATAACTTTCTATCATTTATCAGAATGGAAGTTGAATGTATGGATACCATACCTGCATATTGCTCTCAACCTCCTCTGACTCCTGTTTCCCAAGAACCTACGATGCAAGCTCATGATGCTGGGGCTAACACCAGCACACAACAGACTAATGTTCCTGGAAATAAGAGAAAGGAGGTAGAGTCCAGATCTAGAATATGGGATCAATTTGAAAAGATCAAAGATAGTAATGGTGTTGTTGTCAAAGGAAAATGCATACATTGTGCTAAAATATATTGTTGTCAGTCTAAGAAGTATGACACTTCCTCTCTTAGAAATCACATACTGAGTTGTCTGAAATTGCCTGCCTCAAAGGATGCTAGGCAAGCCCTTCTCACTTTCCAACCAGTCTTGTGTAATCCAACATCTGAAAAAACTGGGGTGTTAGGGACTTGGGTGTTTGATCAGGTTGCAATTAGGAGAGCACTTGCTGAAATGCTTATCATTGATGAGCTGTCATTTAGATTTGTGGACAGACAAGGATTTAGGAAGTTTATCTCTGTAGCTTGTCCTAGGTTCCAAATTCCTTCCAGATGGACAATTGCTAGAGATATCTACCAAATCTTCTTAGATGAGAAATTAAGTCTGAAAAGGTTGTTTAGGGAACACACTCAGATGGTCAGTATAACAACTGACACATGGACCTCTGTACAAAGGATCAATTACATGTGTATAACTGCACATTTCATTGATAATGAGTGGAAGCTGAATAAAAAAATAATTTCCTTTGTTCCTGTGACTTCCCACAAAGGAGAGTACTTAGCTAAAGCCCTAGAGTCTTGCCTAGTAGATTGGGGTTTGAAATCTATCTTCATTGTAACTGTTGACAATGCAAGCAGTAATGACACTGCAATTGGTTTTTTTAAAAAGAAGCTTTTATCTTGGGGTGCCTCTTCTGTAAAAGTTAAGTACCTTCATATGAGGTGTATTGCTCATATCCTTAATTTGGCTGTCCAAGATGGTTTAAAAGAAAGTGATTCTTCTGTTCAAAGAGTGAGGGATGCTGTTAAGTATGTTAGAAATTCTCCTGCAAGGCTTCAAAAATTCAAGGACATTTCAGACTTGATTGGAATGGAAACTAAAGCTGGATTGCACCTAGATGTCCCAACTAGGTGGAATTCAACCTATTTGATGCTCAAATCTGCAATGTCCAATGAAAAAGTGTTTGAAGCTTATGAGGAGAATGAGAGTTCCTATCTTGTTGATCTGGGGAGTGAGAGTCCTGATGTTGGGGACTGGATTTCAATTGAAACTTTGGTGGTCATTCTTAAAAATTTCTATGATATGACAGTTAGGATTTCAGGCTCTCTTTATGTCACTGCAAATACCTTCTTCTCTGAAATATCTGATCTGTTCCTTGTTCTCAAAGAGATGGTTGCTTCTGAAACTGAATCTGTATCTAATATGGGGACTAGTATGAAATCCAAACTGGACAAGTACTGGGGTGATCCAGAAAAAATGAACATGCTCATTTTCTTTGCAAATGTGCTAGACCCTAGAGACAAATATGAGTACATGCCACATCAATTGAATGCTTTGTATGGGGATAAGATAGGTGAGGCATTCTTTGCAAAGATAAAGATGGGTTTGAATGAGTTGTATGGTGATTATGTTACAAACTATGATGTTTCAGTGAGTGGAAGCTCTCAATTAAGCCCCAGTTCTGTTTCTTTACAATCTGAGTCAACTGAAAGTAGGCCTGTCTCAAAATTCAAAGCCCAATTGAAAAAGAAAAAACAAGATAGTGGCCTCTTAGGGTTGAAAAAAATGAACTTGAACTATATTTGAGTGAGAACATTCTTGAGGAGGACAATGAATTTGATATACTGAGATGGTGGAAGCTTAATGGTGAGAGGCTTCCTATCCTATCTAAGATGGCAAGAGACATTCTTGTTGTTCCTATTTCCACAGTAGCATCTGAGTCCACTTTTAGTACAAGTGGAAGAGTGTTGGACTGTTTTAGGAGTTCTTTGAGTGCCAAAATTGTAGAAGCACTCATATGTGCTCAAGATTGGTTGAGGATGTCAAATCAGCCTGTGTCAGTTGAAGAAAATATTGAGGAGGTAGAAAGGCTGGAAACAGGTACTAACTTTGCTTATTTAATATTCAGTGTTTATATTTATACATATTGTTAAATTCTTATTGTTTTCAATGCATAATTAACTGATGGAAATGTTGGTGGAGGCCCTTCTCTTAATCAGATAGTAGTATACTTTTTACCTTTCTCTTTTAGATATGTAATATATTATTTCACTAATGATTTGCTATGCTTCTGTCAATGATCCGGTTGTAAAAGCCTAACCATGTTGCTGTCATGGTGTTGGAAGTGTTGCTGATTCATTAGTACAATTTCTCCTAATTACTGTGTTTGTACTTTGCACAACAAGACATGGTAATCTCCTTTCACTCTTGAGTTAATTGATTAAGTGTAGCATGTATCTGGCAATGATGATAGCTTCCACCAAAAATGAAATTGATGGGTTGGTGTTGATTCTATTTCCATATAGTTTCGTATGCCCCCATTAATAGTGAAGTCAATTTAAATCTGAGCCAAATATAACAACATACATGTTGCCACTTAGACAGTAAAATGGAATTTGCTTATGCATATGTATTTATGACTTCTGACTTATTAGATTAATTGTTGCATTATTTAATCAGTAATGATAGTTTCCACCAAAAAAATTAAATTAAGAATACAAAACTGAGTCAAATTAAGGATATGTTGCTTCCTGCCTTGGTTTTACTACTGCAATTTTCCTATGTACTTATGAATTATGAGTTCTTACATGAATTGTTTACTCAATTAGTTATTTTGGCAATGAGGATGGCTTCTAGCCTTCTACAGTTCTACCAGAAAATAAAATAATGCCCCCATTATTAGTGAACTGAAATTAAATCTGAGCCAAATCTTATTGTATTTCTATATACTTTTGAATTGTTTATAGTTCCCACTTCCCAAGTTTCCATAAAATAATAATGATAATAATGACACTAAACACTTCCCAGTTTAGTGTTTTATGATACTAATGTGTTTGTGACTTACATAGGAACAAAATCAATGACTGTTCGGTTGATGATCTGCGAAATTGATGAAACCTGGAATTCTGGAAACACTCTAGTAGACTAGTAGTCAAGTAGATGTCAAGAGTCAAGATCTGAAGACTTGTACATCAATTGAATGTTGTTAAATTTTTTGTTGGTACTTGCTGTTTTGGAACATTTGATTGCTCAAACTCTAAATGTTAAATTGCTTTGTGCATAAGCAGTATAACTGTGTAAGTGTATAAGTAAGTACCAAATAGTATTGGAGTAATGTGTATGACCGTATGAGTGCATAAGTGTTAAGTGTATAAGTTATAAACATATAACTATTAGCCATGTGTTTGGAGTTGTACAAACTCTACTAATTTTGCAATTGCTTTTGATAACATATTATTATGTATTTTATTTGTGTTTGTAAAGTTTAATTGTACATTTTTTTTTCAAGGTGATTTTATGAATTATTTGTGTTATGTTTTTAATGGATTTTAATCAGCCCGAATGGCCCCGAGAACCGATTAAAACCGACCCAAATCCGAAATTGTGCAACCCGATTAGCCTGAAATATTTTTTGGACGGGGTAGGGTTTTATATTCTCAGCCCGATAACCGAAAGGGTATGCAAAAACCCAACCCGTCCTACCCGAACCCGTCCGACGCTCTACTCTAGGGCCAAGTACTCATTGTGGTGCGCTCAGCAGGTCCGTTTGGGATATGCCCATTAAATACCTCATCGCCTCTTTTTTCATCCCCATTTCGTCAGTTTCATACGCCATCAAAACGCCACTATTGATACAACGCCCGACGCAGGGAGAAGAAGCTCTGGCAGGTAGAGAAAGAGGAAGGCCAGGCTGTTCTGGTAATTTTCTCCATTCATTCTGCTAGATTTATATGCTTATGTCATTTTTTTGCTTTGAAATTCATAAACGTAATTAATGTGTTTGGCGTTCGTGATTACATTGCCCTCAGCAATGTTTCCTCTACAATTTGAAGCTACATTCGGATATAGAAGGGAGAAGGTTCCATAAGAATCTCTAATTTCTGTATTTGATCCATTCTCACATCTATGTCACTGATTGATTTTTTTTTTGTTTATTTAGGAAATTGAACTTTAAATGTTATCGAGTAAATACTAAAATTGATGGTGTTTTTTCTTTCTAAATTACTTTTGATTGTAGAAAATCAACAAATCTAATCTAAATATTCATTTTTTATGTAGCATTACTGGGTGAGGGGAAATTTAATTTTAATCTATGGAAATGCAGATTTCTAACATTTTCATTTCAATTTTCATTCCAATTTCCACGGGATTGGATTAGAGACTCAAACGTAAAAATGGGTTTTGTATAGTGAAAATAAATGAACTGAATTTCGATCTTCTTTTCTTTTCGATCGAAACTTAAAAATAAGCTCTCAACCAAACTGTATTTTTTCTGCTTTTCGATCATCTTCCAGTGAGCTTGGCCGGTCCTGACTCCTGAGAACTGGGCGAGAGATTTTCGGGATAGAGCGATGGAGGGAAGGGAAGAAGCGTCAGCAACTGAATTCGGGCTTTGGAATAGACAAACAGTACCAGAAGTTATGAAAATACTGAGCACTAGACTCCCCCAGAGAGACCTCACCTCCCTATTGCTCCTCAGCCCTTGGGTTCACCGCGCTCTCAACTCTCACCCCTCCCTCTGGCTGGTCAGCTTCTCTCTATTTCTTGAATACCCATATCTCTCCCCTCTGTATGTGTTTGAAGATTGCCTTTCTTCCATCTACATATATTTTTCATTTTTGCATTTGTGAATTTGATTTTCTTACTAGTCCTTGTGGAACCCTTCCTTTTCAGGCACTTGATTTTCATGAGATGACTGATGCAGGAAATCGCCTCGTGGCTGCCCTTTCTCTTGTCAGCTTTGAATCTTTGATTTTGATTTTTCTTTACGTTTTTGTGATGAACGGTTTCTGGGAAAAACCTGAAGAATAATTTTAGATGCCAAAGTTGAGATTCACTGTATTGATGACTGAAGGGAATTTGCAATTACCTGTAGAAGATAAAGAATAGATTTACTGTATTTTGACTTAAATCGGAAATGTTTCTTACCCAGTTTCTTTGAGCTCTAGTGATTTACTTATATAACATTCTCTCTTTCCAGCTAAGATATCGGAATGTGAGGCATATAAACCTTGAGTTTGCACAGGGCGTCGAAGATGGGAACCTCCAAGATGTCAAGAGAAAGGTAGCCCTCCATACACTCCTGTAAATCGAAGAAAGATCTTATTTTGTTTGTAAATATAACATCTATACTCAACTCTGCATTTCATAGCTATTAAGTCTCAGTTTAATTGCTCAGCTTAGTGGACTATAGGATTCCAGTTAGAGTTGTATTAAGATGAAGAAAGTAGAATGTGACTCCCCCCTGGGTTTGTGAATTTGTGATTGGTTAATTAGAATTTAAAAATAAGATGAAATGTTTTATATATTAAAAAATCACTTATCTAACCAATTATTGGCACACAATTGTGGTACAGAGGATTCCTACTGATTGAACACAACATTCATGGGGTCACTACATTTCATTTTTAAGTCAGCATACTTGCATCAGATTACCGCAGTCAAACAGAGTTTATTAAGAAGCAAACTTGCTATTTGTTAATAAATATATATAATGTGAGACCTTTTTCTCATGGTAAAAATGTACATATATATGAGCTTTTAATGAAGTTTCAAATTCATGTAATTTGTCAATGACAGTGTGTGGATTCCCTTCAAAACCTTGAGATATTGAATCTAAATGGCTGTCAAAAGATCTCAGATAAAGGAATTGAAGCCATAACAAGTATTTGCCCCAAACTGAAGGGATTATCCATATATTGGAATATCAGGTATTTAAGAGCCGTAATTAGCGTCATTATGCATGTATGTGATATTCGTGCTTTTTAATCTCAATTGTATTTTTCATTTTCACATGTGTGATTGCTAATTGATTTTCAGGGTCACAGATGCTGGCATAATGCACTTAGTGAGAAACTGCAAACTTGTGGTTGATTTGAATTTGAGTGGATGTAAGGTACATGGTGATTGTTTATGATATGTGGTTCTGTCTCTCTCTCTCTCTTTCTCTCCCTGTCTCTCTTGATTGGTTCAGGTTTGGGTGGGGGTGGGGCACTGTTCCTGACCTTGGGTTGGACTTTGAATCACATCGGCCGAGGCATTGCTACTAGAGCACTAGAGTTGATTATCAATGGCTAATAGATCTTTTTTGAAGCATTAATGTGCGTAGCAGTTTTGTGCGTGGACTATGCAGCCTACGTGGCACATAAAATACTTTAGCTACTCAAAAACATTGGAGTGAAATAAAGAGAAAGGATAGCAAGAAAAATTAGTGATAGGTTTTTATCATCGCCACAACCCCTAATATGTGACTAGTGACCATGGACTTTGAGAGTCAAAGCTTGCCATTTCATTCTACCAATACCTTTTCCCAAAGATTACCCCACCTTTTTGTTTGTGAATATTACAGACTATTACAGATCAAACGTTGCATCTAATTGCTGACACCTATCAAAATATGGATTCGCTGAACATCACTAGGTAAAGCTAAGAAATATGTGTAGGTTCCTTAATTTTGTTTTTCTTAAAAAACAGTCTGTAACAATGTTCTCTCTCCCTCACTTTTGTATAAAGTATGACATTCATTACATGAAGTAGATTTCTTTATGCATAGATCAGGCATATGGCAAGATAAGTGTTTCCTTTACCAAAAAGGGAGTTCCTGATCACAATTGACCAATTGTTACTGCTTTTAATATGAAGTCGATGATTAATGTGTTTGTGATAGAAAGTAAGTTAATACTCCCTCAATCCCAAAACAGAGTCCTTTTTCAAAACATACTTTTGTCTCATATAGTAATTACATTTTAACAAAAGAAGCAAATTGTCATTATACCTACTGTGTATGTATATATTTAAAAAATGTGATTCCCAGTTGTTGTTCCTCGCTCAATATAAAAAACTGTACCTTTTGTGGTAATACCAAAATATATTCCTTTTTCAAAACTTACTTTTTGTCTCGAACACAAGTCATATTTGAACAAAAGAAGCAAATTGTCATTATATTCACTGTGTATATAGATAATTTAGTATGTCAAACTTAGCGAAATCAACAAATAAATATAAATTTTAGGTAGAATTGATGATTCCCAAATGTTGTTCCTTAATTTAAAAAACTGTACCTTTTGTGGCAATATCATGCTATTAAAATATTGTATGTAATCCTACCTTTGTGATCTCTTCACGTATATAGGTGCATCAAGCTGACAGATAGTGGTTTGCAAAGAATATTGCTGAAATGTGCTTCTCTTCAAAGTCTGAACCTTTATGCCCTTTCTGTGTAAGAAATTAAGAGTATATATACATAGTTTGTGTGTGTACCCCTTGTTTTTCATTGCACATTCATGCAAACTATAAATTCGTAATGTTTGTCATCTAAAAGGGTCAAAACATACCCATGTATAGGTTTATGGATGAAGCTTACAAGAAGATATCACTTTTGCCTCATCTGAAATTCCTTGATCTCTGTGGTGCCCAGGTGTGATATTTCTCTTTGACTTTTTGTTTTTATATGACATCTTGCTTCGGCAGGTTCTGCCATCACTTGTTTTCATGTACACTTTTTCAATTGACTAACGGCATTAATCAGAATCTTTCAGACGATGGGCTTTCTTGTATTGCACATTGTAAAAGGCTACTGTCTCTCAATCTGACATGGTACGTTTATGTACAGGGCCTACTATCTAGGGAAAAAGAACATTTTTGTGTATGGTATTGACTTACAAATTGTAATCTTATCTCTGACAGGTGTGTAAGAGTTACCGATATGGGGGTCATAGCAATTGCGCAAAGTTGCATTTCCCTTGAATTTCTAAGGTGCTCATAATGGGTCAATCTTTGTGCCCCATCATTCTCAAGTAACTGTAGATTAACTTTTGCAACTTGTCTGTCCATTTTGCAACCAAATAAAGTGAAACTTTGTAAATTGACCAAGTTTCCCTCACATATTTATTTCAAATTGGCTTGATACTCTTTTAATACCTATATTCAATATGGGTATTTTTTTAATTTATGAAAAATCTCTGTCACCTTAAAAATCACAAATTGTCCTTAATGGGCAAGGGAGTATTTGAGAACAGAGGGGGTGCATCATTTCATGGATATATGTTTCTTGACAGCACACGACTTACTGTCAACAAAGAATTTTGTGATGTTCTGTAAACTTGTTTGTTCATGTTTACTTACTGGCCAATTCTTAGGGAGGGATAACCACTACTTGCGTGAAAGTTTTTAGTGAACATGTGGAAAAGTTGTTGCTACATCTGTCACATTAACTTTTTATTCTCCAACTTCTGCAGTTTATTTGGAATAGTTGGGGTGACTGACAAATCCCTGGAGGCACTCTCAAGCTCCTGTTCAAAAACACTAACAACTTTGGATGTGAATGGTTGTATTGACATAAAGGTAAAAAACACAATTTGAAACCCAAAGATCAAATTGTAGAATGACAATGTTTGTCCCTTCGACTAATACTTGCTTTGCTTACATATTCTAGAATCGAACTCGGGATCAACTGCTCAAGATGTTTCCTAACCTGAAGTGCTTCAAAGTGCATAGCTGATGTTTGGTTGTTTGGATTCAAATCTTTCTTCGGGAGCATATATCACCACACTAGGTCTTTCTAATGCAGTGGTGCAACATAATCTGTTGTTAAAACAGCCCTGCTTATCATATTTTGAGGACTCACAATTCTGTCATCTCCGATGCTTTCTGTCTCCCCTGCATACCCAGTCAACTGCTCATGCAAGAGGTTAAAAATTGCTATTTAGGCATCGAGCTCTCATCAACCATTCCTATGCGCTACTAAACTTCAATTGAAAATGTTTTTTCCTTTGCCTTTGCAGAAGGTTTCCAACTTGACATGTATGATATAACTCTTGCATTTCTTTTCTTCAATCGAAAGAATAGAAAGCAATGACATCAATCCTTATCTGTGTATGTGCGCCTATTTTCATTTCTAGTTTGTCAATAGGCTGTTTGCTTAAGATTTTGTTAGTCACACGATTTTCTTTTTATCCGTGTCAGTTATTTCTCGCAAATCACATTTCAATCATTACTGTTTTCACTCGTTTCCTCTTAAGAAAAAGATAATGTTATTCCTTATTTCTCGCTAAGCACATTTCAACCATATTGTTTCACCTTTTAACCTCCATTTCTGATCAAATCGAGGGTTTAATTTAGGACGGATTGATTTGGTACTAACAAACTTCAGGTGATAATGTGATATTGTTATGCACTTCTCGAACTTTTATCTTTAGTAAGGTCCTTCACACCTATTTTAAAACTTGATCCAGGTGGGCACACGTGGAATGCATGACTGATAAGCTTGGGACGGTAATCAGGGCGGATTTTACCAACTTTCCCTTTTTGGTTGTTCCAAAAAACCTTGCCACTTTCATATTAAAGCAACTAATTTTTTGTCCTGCACATTTCTCAACTCTGCACAAATTTCAACTATACAGTTTTCACTATTTTTATTTCTCATCTACTTTACATTTGACAAAGTCAACCGGGACAGAGGTAGTATAGTGTGTGTGTATGGAAGATTTCAAATAAAAAGAGGTGCTCCCGTGCAAAGTGTGAACATTTGCATTTTTGTCCTCACAGCGTTGCACTATTTCATGTTTTCAGGTGCACTTTTTCGCGGTGGCAGAAAACTTCGATTTATTTACCAAATTGCCTTCACGTTTTTTTATCAAATTTAGTGTATTTTTGGCTCAATTTGAGTCATTAGATCTTAAAATGAATGCACGAGATTAATTCTCACTTTGCATTGGAAGACCTCTTTGTGTTTGAACTCTCCCATATATATGTACTCCCTCCGTCATAAAATGAACTTCATAGTCACCATATATATGTCTGATAACCTCTTTGTAGTGGTTTTAATGTAGTTTCTCAATATGTAAATTTTATTTACTAAAAGTAATCTAAGTATGAACAATGATTGAGTTGTTTTATCATCGGTCAAGCATCGTAATCTGAAATGGGAAGTTCATTTTGGGACGGAGGTAGTATATATATATATATATATATATATATATATATATATATATATATATATATATATATAGGAAAATTCTCAGGTCCAGCACCTTCCGGTCCGAACGCCGTCCGAACACCGCCGTTTGGGGCGTTTTCCGGTGGAATTTTTTGATGAATTTTTTTGAGAATGTTCCTCATCAAGTCTAGTTTATCCATACCAAATTTCAGCTCAAAGTTCGATCGGGAAGACAGTCAAATAATTCGTTGAAGTTAACTGCGTTATTCTATGTATAATTTGGCGCAGTTAACTTCAAAGAATTATTTGAATGCCTTTCGGATCAAATTTTGAGCTGAAATTTGGCATGAATAAACTAGACTTGATGAGGAACATGCTCAAAAATTTTCATCAAAAAGTTCCTCCGGGAACCGCCCCAAATGGCGGTGTTCGGACGGCATTTGGACGGGAAGGTGCTGGACAGGAGAATGACTCTCTCTCTCTATATATCTATATATATATATATATATATATATGCATGCATGTATGTATGTATATATATAGGGTGTCGTTCAGGTGAGAAAGCAGTCTTAGGAGAGAAATAAGAATAAAACTTGACCATAGATTTATTTGATCGGATGACTACAGTTGGAGTGAAATTAAAACTTTCATCCACTCATAATGGCATAGTGGAGGAGTTATAAAAGGCAAGGCTTCATTGTTATAAATACATAAGGGCTAAAGGGTAATACATGAAATCTGTTTGTTACATGCATCCGGCTTATTGTCTTCTCTCTCATGAGTTGTTTCCATATTGATTACAATCTAAATGTTGGAAATGTTGGAGAATAGGATAAGTGCACTAATGATACTATAACCTGAATAATGACACTAAGACGAATCATAAAAGTGTTGCCCAACAACAATATGAGCCAGTTTAAAATAATGAAAACATTAAAAAACGTAATCCATAATCTGAATGCAGGATTGTTGAAAGGAAAAGAATACAAGAGAGGGGAAAATAAATATAACTATAACATTTGGAATATCACATAAATATGTAAACATTTACAAAAATGATGAAAACAGAAATTTCAAACACATGGGATAATACATGAAACAAATTACAGAGCAATTCATAGTATTTCCATATGCACACATAGAAAACATATCTTACTTCGAAAATAATACCATTAGGTTTCATGATATGGTTTCGAAAATAATTACGAAAACGCCACTGCAAAAAATTAAGTCTGGAAACCTTGAAATTTTTTTGACGCGGTGGCATTTTCGTAATTATTATGGAGAACTTTATTAGTTATGGTTTATTGGTTAAAAGTTCCTATATTTGGTCTATAAGTTTACTACGTTGTAGATCAGCTGCAAATCCAAGGGCTAAAATTACTTTTCACTTCTCATTTTAAGGGGCACTTCTCACATGATCTCTTCTATATATTGGAATAGATCTGGTGAGAAGCTTCTACGGCTGAAAAGTGAGAAGCAATATCAAGCGTCCGATCAAATTAATCTGACTGCAATGAAAGTCCATCTTTATCTATTTCTTCAGACTGATTAATTGATCAGTTCTTTCTTATTTTAAGTTCCTGTACTTGATCACCTCACTGGAACAAAGGTTCATCGATTCTCCATCTTCATACTCTTCGATCGACTCTTCGCCGCCTTACACCACCGTCCCTTTCCGCCCTCCTCTTCTCGATAAGGGTTTGGTGTCGTCATTTATGAATTTATACATACATACAATTTTGCTCCCTAATTATCAATTCCTTCTATAATTGCATATATGTTGTTTTATGATAGCTAGGTTTTCATTCTTCTAAAAGCAGCTCAACTCTCTATGGATTCTGGTAGGAATAATTCTTCTAAAGGCATCATTGTGCTAAGTTTAGCAAAGTGCGATGTGCTTTTTCCCAGAAACGAGAATCTAATTCTAATTTTGGTTTATTCCTTAAATATTTCTTCGAATTTAGGCTTTGATTGTCTATAACTCTTACCTAACCTGCCTTGATTTTCTATAACTTTTACATAACCAGTTTTGACTATCTATAACTTTTACATAACCAATTAAACTAAAAACCTGGCATTCTTACTTACGAACACTATTAATAGTGTTTCTCAAGTTCTATATAAGTCTATTTGTATCCTCTGTTTATCTATAGATTGAGACTAACTTATATCTACCAAGTGTTTGTTGAAATGTTTAAATGATGAATTGTCTCAATATCTTTTACATGTTAAGTTTATATTGATAATTTGAATCTATAGATCTGTACTGTGCATTTAATAATGTCAAAACTATAAGTTTAGTTACATTACAATTGACGGATAATAATGTCAACATTTAGTAATTTTGGTTTTAGCTATGCTCATTAAACTTTATAAATTTTATTTGACCCATAAAAGACTATAGTGCAGTTTGTTTGTATAGTTCTTACCACTTACTCTTGATCATATTTTTTGTGTAAGAAATCAATGCGGATTCCAAAGCAATTGGCCTAAACTCCCTTACATTGAGGATTCATAGAGGATACAATAGTTGAAAGGTATTGGTCTGAAACGATTGCTAGTGACTTAAAATTAAAAAAAATAGCAAAGACTAATATATAGAATTTGCCAACTATTATATGCAATGTCATGACTTTTAGCATGTATTTTTAGCTAGTAATAGCAGTTACAATATAACAACAGTTGTAAAAGTAATAATGATAGTGCTCACAGTAGTATTACTAGCAGCAATTGATGTTAGAGGATCAAGAGTGTGATGAAAAACTTTGAGGTGTTATACTTATATGAACTAGAAGTTAAGCCTTGTAAGTGTATTCCTCAAAAGTTTCTTGTCTTTCAATCAGTTTTACTAGTTAATTGTAATATTGTTTATCTTAACACTTATGTGATAATTATGTTTCAAGTGCTACTCATTTTTTCATGTTTTATTTACTTTATTAGTGACATTACGAAAGTGTGAGTTAATGCATTTGTTGTTTCAAACTTCTCTATATTGATAATAATTATTGGTAAGGGTTAACAGTTACGGATGGAAGTGCATATACTTATGTTAAAAGTTACGGATATTTTATTGAAAATTATGAATATTTTATTAAAAGTTATGTTTTTATTCCATAATTTATTTTAAACCACATTGTTTTGATTGTTCTCATTTCTTTTTTCATTTCAGTTTCCACTCTAAAATAGATTCAATGTCTTAAAATATACGGAGATATGGTAGTGAGTGAGTCCTATGTATGATTGATTAATGGTGTGATCATATGAGCAACTTTTAACATAAATTATATAACTTTAACGACATATAACATAACTTGTAATATAAAAACAAAACCCACTAATGATCAAGTACTTTCTTGTAGGAACAATACAACTCCTAACCTTAAAAATATAACTTCTAATAGAATTGCAACATCTTCATAATATAAGTTACATATTTCAGCATAAGTTATATAACATTACTGATTTTGATGTTATCGGCTAATGTGAATTAAAAGTAATGTATTTAGTTTTAGAAGTTATTATTTTGGATCTATTAGTTATAACTTATAAACATATATGCATTTATCTTTATTGCAGAAGATCGAAGAAAACATTGATGTACTAAACGAAGATGACATTGGTGTTGCGATGAAGTTATCCTAGAAGTTAGTCAGTGGTGATGTACACAAAATAGCACTCAACACTAAATAGAAGAAATTGACAAGGACAACACAACTGAAGCTAAGAAGAAGAAAAGTGAAACATATAAGATATGATAGAAGCCACTATGTTAAGAAGTAGAAATTTTGTTAACTGGTTATATGTTTTATTGTTGCAAATAGAGTTGAATGTAATTCCCTTGTTTTTTTTAAACAGAGGACCCTTTTGGTGATAGTAGGAAGTAATATGTAACAATTAAGTTTGGATGTTTCTCAATTTTTCTATTGTTCTTCGGATAAAAGAGATATAAAGGGTGAAGTAAGGAAACGAGTAATAGGACCAAAGACTCCTTAAAATTGCAGCATCATTCACCTAAAGACTATGTCTATTTTCTCTCTTCATTTTTATGATGCAATGCATAAATTAGATTTGAATATTTCAGCTCCCTCATGGGAAAACAACAACTCCCTGATTTATTAACAAAATAAAGTTATATATGTAACAATCTCATCTACAAAGAAGAGAAATGAAAGTGTAGAAAACTCATATTTCTTTTCAATCCCAAAAGCTTCAATAATTAGAAACTTATAAACGAATTAATATAACTAGTAACAAGTAATATAAAACTTATAATAAAAAGCTCAAACCACACAAAATCACCATCAATAGCAAACTGCCTTAACTCCACTATTGCCTTGTTTTTCAAGATTTTCCATAAACAAGAATCAGTAACCTTCACGTTAAGCCATTTGTGTTTGATAAAAAAACTTAGCATGATATGCAGTGGAGCTGTTTAGTGTTTACTACAAGAGTATACAATTTGAAGTCGTCACCATAAAATTTTTTACAGAATTTACAAAAGAGGGGTCACATTCAATACATTACACAAGAGCAATAACTCTTGAGCCCTGCTATTCACTTTTTATATAAATATAAACATGAGAGAAATAGATACTAGAAAACTCGAACTAATCTCTCTAATATTTTCAGCTAACAATCCTACCGAGGAGCAACTGGATCTGTTTGTAATCTCTGAAATCGCCTATAGAGCACTTGATTCAATGTGCACAGAATCCCAATTCTGCCCGGTAGCCAAGTGATAGCTTCTCTAATACCAAGAAGCTCAGCCTTTAAAGGGGATAAATATCTTATCCTTGGCAGCG